TCGTTTTTCTCCTCCCGCCCTCTTTACCATTTAAGTTAACCCCATATCAAGTGAAGAAAAACACGTTTCTGAGAATAAAAATATCTGTTTCTTCTCTCTCAGTGGGGAATACAAGTGCTGGAGAGAGATAACATGGTTGATACATGGCGGGGCTGCAGAGTTGGAGCGAGGAGAATGTTCAAGCTCACATTTCCGTGATTTGACCTGATTGTATGAATATTGCAGAGGAATCTCTTAGTGTCTGTAATGACATTAAAAAGTTGATGTACTGAGAGTATAGAGAGGGGGAGAGGGGGAGAGTGAATAGTTTGGAGAGCCGGGAATGTTGATTGGGCGGAGGGGTCATAAAATATTGAGGCCCGTTTTTTTTCCCTCTGGAGTGCATATTTTTGGCCCGAGTTAAAGAGTCATGAGAAGATTTCTAGGGATCAAAAACTCAGTTTCTTCTCCTGTGGAATTCTGGGATTTATCCTGGGGTGGTGACAATTCGTTTGCACTGCATATTTTTTATGTTTGTGCATGAGAAAACAGATTGATTTTATCTCTGATTTTAATGCTTTTGTTTTATTTCATTTAATTTCAGTTAATTTATTCATTCATTTACCGTTACCATGTGTTTCTAATATTTTGTATATTATGTAATGTTGTATATTAATTATATCTACAGTGCTCAGCATAATTGAGTTCACCCCATTTTGAAAAGGATTGTTTTTAACCATTTCTCAGCGAATAAAGGCAACCTATTTTGGTGCATTTAAACAAAACAGATTTATTAAACAGACATCTTTATTACAATGAAATGAAATGAAATGAAATTTTAGTCACCAAACATATTTAAAAATAAAAAGATAATACAAATAATTTCAAGCAAAATATTGAAGAAAAAAACACAAACTTCAAAATTTCACCAAATTTTTCCATTTTTTGCTTCTCTTGATTTTTCCTCTTTTTTAAATTTGTATTTAATATGTTTCTATAACATATAAATTTGGTTGTGCTAGTATTTGGAACGGTTTTGTTGGTTATTATGTTAGATAAGCTCCAGATTTGGCTTCAGTACTGACTAATCTAATGTATAAGCTTCCTATTAAACATATGGATTTAAAACATAGATTTGTGAGGGCTGTACATATATATGCTGAGCACTGTATACTTATTGTATATCAACACTAATTTTTAAATATATATATTAAAGATTTATTACTATATAATATGTTTTGTACATTCTAAAACAATTGCTGAATACATTACGAGTAAAATTATCAAATACATTTTTATTGCAATAAAACAAAAACAAAACAAGAAAATAATTACAAATACTTAGTAAAATGCTTAGTAGGAGAAAAATTAATTAATTGTTTTGTAATTTAATAGCCAAAAAGTCAAATTACAGCAAAACCCATCTCATAATACCCCTTAGTTAATTTTTGCCTTACTTTTTATCAGGAAACTTTTGGCACCCACATCTGTCAGGGTTTTTTCTTTTCATCTTTACAGACAAAAACAGTTCAAGCAATCCCCTGTAACTTTGTGCGGATCCTGTTTTTTTTTTTTTGACTACATCATCCGCTCTCACCTCTCACTGAACTGTATGAAAACCTCCAGCAAAATGCAGCACCTACTGTACCAGACATCATGACGCTGGCTTGCGTGAGTCCTGCGGCTTCATTAGGGGCCGCACACATGAATACACTCACACCTCACACAATACTGCGGCACTCATCTCGAAAAGTAACATCATTAGACAATCAACAAAACAAACGCTTGAACTCCCTTCAAAATTCCTTAAAAGCATTATGTCACCCATGAACAACATTGTGTCTCTTGACAAAGCATTCAGCTTGTCTCCCATCTGGCGAATATTGCAGGTCCTCCATTATGCATAAAGTCAGTAACCACAAAGAGATCGGGAGCAGCCAGAACTCCCTGTGCCGGGTCATTTTAATCATGGTGTTATGAAATCTTCATGAGTTTTTGTGTTTCTTTCCCTGTGTTGTCTTGTGCTAACGGCTCTGTTCGGTATACAGCAGGAGACAGGATATTTACTCACCTCTGGGAGACTGACAACACAAATCCCTTTAGATGAAAGTCAAGAGCATAACCTGCTTAAAATAGCTTCCTGACAGGCTGTTGTGTGTTTGCATGCAGTGCTGAAGAATGTTACTTTTAAAGTGCCTTGTTTATATAGTGTTATACTTTATTGCATATTGTTAATGAAAGTGAAACTTTCAAGAGTGGGGTTTTTATGACTGGGTCATTGAAACATATGCCCAATTGATTCATTCAGGAATGATATGAGTAAGTCACAGACTGCAACATCAATGATTTATTTAGGTTTTATAAATAGTTGAAGTCTTTCTAATTGAGTCATTGAATCATTTACTTAATCAATTCCTTCAAAAGCAATTATTTACACTGTAAAAAGCGATTACTTCAAAAAAGTGAGTAAATGCATTGTCTTAAATGCGACAGGTTGATTTTGCTTAAAATAATTCTGTGGTGTTACTTTCGCTTAACTTAATTTTTATGATTTCACACATAGTTCATGTACTTAATCATTTTAAAGCAATTGGTTTACTCAGTTCTTTAAAGTAAAGTCAACTAATGGCTTCTTACAGTGGATACAGAAGCTATAGTGAGATGGCTTTTTTGGGGGGGGGGGGGGGGGGGGTCATTGAATATTTTACTCAACCAATTGTTTCAAAAACAGTTATTTATACAGGAGCATATTGGTAGACTATTTTTAAGTCATTGAATAGTATGTTTACTTGATTTAAAATCACAGATTCTTTCAAGAATAAATCAGTGTAAGGTCTTTACAGGATAGTAATTGAGAAGTCAAGTCAATGTTTATTTATAAAGCTTTTTTTAAAGACAACAAGTGTTTACCAAAGTGCTGTACACACATCTTGAACAAAGGACAAATACAACAGACATAAGACTTTCATATGACATTAAAAGCCTAAGTGTAAAAATGGGTTTTAAGAGTGTATATAAAACAGATAGGGTTGTGGTTTGCTTAACATGGAGAAGCAAGTTATTCCAGAGTTTAAAGGAAATCACTGCAAATGCACGGTCCCCCCTGGTTTTTAACCTTGTGCATGGACAAAGTATTTTTAGGCAAGTCATATCGGCCATCTTTGAAACGCCTCTCTGGCGGTATGCTCAGGCTTTCTGTTTGAATAGGGCACAGGTGTCGATTCCAATTCCTGCAGGGCCGCAGCTCTGCACAGTTTAGGTCCAACCCTGCTACAAACCTCTAACCTGTAGGTTTCAAACAAGCCAGAAGGACTCAATTAGTTTGATCAAGTATGTTTAATTAGGGTTGGAATTAAACTATTCAGAGCTGTGGCCCTCGAGGAACTGGAATTGACACCTGTGGAATAGGGAAACATCAAATTGTCCAAAACTGCTTGCCAAGCTTACGATTGAATTTTATATTAGGAATCACCAATAAAATTAAACAACAACTGTCCCATTAGTTCAGATATGCCTAAACTAGAGCCCACGAGCCAAAGTTGGCCCATGGTAACCTTTGATTTGGCCCGCCATCCTATCTGAAAACAGAGGGAAAATGAGGGTAGTGGTTTAGATTGTCGGTTCTAATTTAACGCAACCCTTTGTTTGTTTGTTTTTCTTTATTGTCAAAAGCTAACTGAAATGAAATGCTTTAATTAATTGGTGTAAATGAACCAGATTTTGTTTAAATGTACATACTGTCACCCGACAATGCAGAGACTTTGTTAAGCAAATCAAGTCAAAGGCAGATTGTGCTCAGTACTGTCTATAACAATCGTTGATTGGTTCTACTATTCGTCATAAAGCGATCGATGATTGGCTCCTGTACTAGAAGGCGGGCTTTATTTGCCATATTGACCGTTACACTTTTGTTCACCTTGATAGGGTGAACAATTGAATTAATGCATACATGTAACTTACACCATTAAAAACCAAAACTAAAATCTTAAAATGTAGCCAAACTGAACAGGAAGCCAGTGAAGAGAGGCCAGTATGCGTGTAATGTGTTCAGGAATGAGTCGTTGAATCATATACTTAAACAGTTCATTCAGAAGTGTTCATTCAGGAACTAATCAGATGACTTGGCTTTATGTTTGAGTCATCGAATAATTGATGCATCTAATTCATTTATAAATCAGGAGATTTTTTATTTTTTGAGTGAGTGAGTGAGTCATTGAATAATTTCTCAACTGACGTGTTTAACATTGATTTCTCAAAAACCAAATTACAGTACTATCTACATGAGTCATTGAACCATTTTCTCCGTGGAACTGAAACTTCTCTTATTGAAAGATTTGTATGAAAGCTGTTACAGTTACAGCATGTTTTTTCTGTGTGTCTCCTGTGGTGCAGTAAATGTATGTGTTGTAACTGATAATACTATGTCTAAGCTATGAGATACTTCTTTTTCATTGATCCTTCATATAAAAGCAATATCACAAAGCAATATAGCTTGTATGCACCAAACCACTAAAAGGCAAATGCTTAGGGACCTCTCCACGACAAATAGCTACAAATATCACCTTTTAATTAATACCAGTTCAGAAACACAATACAGTCCCAACGTGTAAAGCCTTTAGCTCAGACAGATCGCTGCTTGTCTGTCTTTATTCACCTGTGGCTGAGCTCAATATCCCATCTGTCATTGCCTATTCTCCTGTTCAAACAAAAGCCTTGGCTGCGGTGCTGTGCGGTAATTTGATTAGGGTTCCTGAATGAACATTAGACGACCAAGGCATCAGCCAATACCTGCTGCTGAACTCACCTGTGGGCGCATGGTTTGTTGCAATTTGAAAAAGGTCCAACACCAAAACAGCAGTTTTAATTGCTTCTGGGGTTGTTTGATTTACCTTTCAGACAATAATAATGTCGTAACATTTAGCTCTCAAAGTCTCCTGGTCCCATTGCAGATGTTTTGTTGTCTGGTTCTGGCTTTTTCCGCATGTTGATTTGTTTTTAATTGTTTGGTCTTTGGCCCACAGGTGTATTGAGCCTGCCGGACAGTCTGAACCTGCACCGTGACCAGCAGCGAGCAGGGAAAACTGGAGAGGGCCATGCCTATAGCCAGGCTGAACTCCGCACCATTGAACAGTCACTTCTGGCGACCCGTGTGGGGAGCATCGCCGAGCTCAGTAAGTACTCATGCCTTAAAAATGAGTTAGTAGGTTATAGTTATGTCATAGCCATGATATGCTGCTTGCTTTTTGGGTTTAGATGAAAACATTTGATCATATTTAGACAGTAAACTTGGTATTTGGGATATTCCCAAAGGGTGACTATTGCTTAAAGTACACTTACTACTAAAAGTTACGTTTTAGAATATTATTAAAATGTATTATTATATAACATGTCTGTTTTTAATTGTAATGTATTTATAAAATTTGGAATTGGAACTTTTAATGGTGACTGTAATGGAATGGATCACTTGCTCCGGTGGGCTGGTCAAAGCCCAGGATAGCAGTCAACAGCTGTTCTTTTCTCTAAGGCTTTACTGTAGCATGTAATAGGTGTTGTCTGTACAAAGATAAATACAAAAAATTAATATACAGAATGTCAAACATGGTATTTGTCAGCACAATAACAATTGGCATTATCATTAATATCACTGAGCATGAGTGAAACACTAGCTCAGTGGGTTACCATATTAGTATTTGACTAAGCCATTTAACAAAACAATATTTATCCACACATTTGCTAGCAGTTTACAATGCAAAGAATAACAACAACCTTATAATCAACATAGAACATAAAGTACAAACAATATACTAATAAATCTCATGGCAGATGTATAGATTACGATCTTGTATTGGTAACGATCACATCAGATTGCATGTGCTTACTACAATATAATAATAATCTTTACTACAAACGGAAAGATTACAGCTTAATGTTACTATAGAGCAGGGCTGTCTGAACTCTGTCCTGGAGGGCCGGTGTCCTGCACAGTTTAGCTCCAACTTCCTTTGCCTGAAAGTTTCTAGTATACCTAGAAAGAGCTTAATTAGCTGGTTCAGGTGTGTTTAATTGGGGTTGCAACTAAAATATGCAGGACACCGGCCCTCCAGGACTGAGTTTGGACCCCCCTGCTATAGAGCATTATATAACTGAGCAAAACTTACTTTATAGGATGCACGCACACATATTACAAGCTGGACTGTAATGGCTTGTCTCACTTCTCACAAAGTTTGCTGTGCAGCATTAAAATGGCGATGCCTCTTAAAGCGGCAACAGGTCCTAAAGGGGCCACACATGCAAACTTTTGTACAGTATTCCCATGATGTATTCAAATCTACATGTTTAGCATCGATACACAATGTAGTCAGCATTACATGATTCAGAAATCATCTGATTTTATTCTATTTGTAGAAATTATTCCTAAATGTGTTACTCAAAATGAATGTTTAAAAATCGTAATTGGTTGAAGGGGGTATTAGGGTGGGGCATTCTTATTCAAGAAAGCATTTGATTGGACCAAACTGTGTGTGGTGCAGGATGAGTCATCAATGTTTTTAGTCTGTTTTCTCTGGGAAGAAACAGGCTGTTCATTTTTAATACATTCAGTCTGCTAAGACTGAAAGTGGAATCAACATTTATATTTAGCCAAAATATTTATACCAGACCTATAAATTCCAGCAGTGACCTTGGTTTGGCATCTATTCTACGTTTGCTCCCTGAGCTTTTTTACATCTGGATGATCTATTGAACTAGCTGTTTTTAGTGTCCTGTGTGGGAGTATAAGGTCAGCGGTCAGCAACTGGAAGGCCCTACCCTAACTGAATGAGGTGTGTCTGCGTGTAGCGTCCACCGGATAGTCTTCAGACTCAATAACAGCTCTTTGTATATTTTTGGTGGTGGTGGTGGTTAGCATGTGTGTGGCAGTGGATTTCAGAGCTCATATACTGCACAACCTCAGCTACAGTCATTTTCTAATCATAGAGAACACACGAAACACCCAAAAAGTCAAGATCCGAAAGACCACGATCATCCACACTGATTATGTCTCCTCAAGCATTCCTGCCAAATGAATGCATGTGACCCAAATGAAAAGGGGAAATTCGATGTGTGCAAAGGGACTTGAGTAAATTACAGAGAGCCAGTGACCCTTCTGTCATTCTAATCAACACTGCATTCTGCCGGGAAACAGACACATCAGCTTTAGCAACAAGAAACAGTTGAGGAAATTTAGCAACCAAGCTATGGCTTGCTGATTACAAATATTATTAAAATAACAAAATTTTCTGACATACTGTCAAGAGCACTTATTATTTTTGTGAAACCCCTGCCCAGTAATTGCAATGTTTGGATTACCCCATACTGATGGTTTATACAAAAAGCATCATACAAATATTATTGCTCAAATCATCATTGGTAGACGAATAGAAATCCTCAAGCCTCCTTTGTTTTGCTTGAAAGACTTAATGCATCTTTTACATTTGGAAGAAATCGAATACTGCATTAGAAATTCTGTCAATTTATGAGTTGTGTAATCCTGGCTTTGCTTTATTGAGACCTTGCCTTAAGAATCTTCTTAATCAAAAATAAAAGAGGGGGAAAATAAAAGGTATAATCAATAGCATTCTTGATTAAATGTATTTTTTCTATTTCTTAAATAGAGCTGAACAGACATATGTATTGAATGTTAAATAGACTTAGACAAGCACAACAAATCACAAATGATGTGACTTATTTAAGAAGCTGCAGGGTATTCGTCTTATTGCATGTAAGAAGTATTAGCACAGATGTGAAGTTGCTGTCATAATGCGGCATTGGTGATGTAACCATGCAGAATGTTAGCTGTTGTGCCAACAGATGAGGCATAATAATCAGACGTAATTGACTTTTTCCTGCTTTCCGGCTTTGTGTGCACAATAAGCATTTATATATTGATTGCAAAGCCTTCAAAAGCCACCTAATTGACCGTTAACTAATTACGGCCCATTTTCACACTGTATAACAAAATATAAAAGCCTGGATTATGCAACCGCGTTTTTGTTGATGAAAAATTCTCATGCATATTCATTTAGCGCTGAATCATCTCAGTTTTGGCTATGCAAAAAATATCATTTTGGTCTACTCTAATTATCTCAGTCTCCTTATCACAGACTTGTACTGTAACTATCAGTGTGTTGAAATGCAAAACGGTACTTGATAGTAAGTGTGCAGCCTTTTTTATGAGTGTCTCGCCGTCTGCCACGTGCCACTGATGTTATCCGTTACACAAATTTACTTGGGAATCAAACACATTGTGCGCAGTTACCAGTGAAGCCCACCCATTGCAGAGTTCACTATGCTGAAGGCTATTTATGTTATGCTACAGATGTTCTTAAGTCCATTGGTTATGTAATGTGTGTGTACAGTATATATGTAAAGAAAGACCATTGTTTTAGGGATCTCAATTGTACTTTTGAAACTCAAGTAAACAACCACATTTTTTATAGTAAAAAAAAATAATCAGGGGGATTTTATCTTTTTTTCCCTCTAAAAATGGTCTGGATTCTGTTCTGTTTGAATTTTAGTGCAAGAAAACTGTGAGAAGCTTTTTTTTTCCTTCAATATGGCTTTTATTCGGACATCTGTCTCTCAGCACACTCCAAGAGTTCCCTTAGGGGTTCAGTCTGCACTGTGCTTTCTCATTGGTTAACTAGATAATTCCCAGCTTAACTTCAGTGCTAAAATCTAAAAATAAAGTGAGTATTTTGTTTAATTAAAGTCATTATCCATCCATCCATCTATATCTATATCTATATCTATATCTATATCTATATCTATATCTATATCTATATCTATATCTATATCTATATATCTATAAGATAATATTTGTTCATCACTCAATCTTCCATCAATTTCTTTCCATCCATGTGTTATCCATCCATACATACTGTACATCTAAGATATTGTTCATACATGCACCAACCAATTTTAAAATAATAATCCATCTATCTATTTGATACAAACTTCCCATTCAACCATCCATTCACGCATCCATACATGTAAGTTATTAATTATCCATCCATCTGAGATGCTATCCATCCATCTATCTGATAAATCATCCATCCAGTTATCCTTCCATCCATCAATCCATCAGAGATGTCTTTCCTTAAACATTTATAATAATTTTCCTAATTCATGCATACATTTATCTTAGATATGAATTATCCAATTGAGATATTGTCCCTATCCATCCCTTCATCAATTCATTTAATGTGCCATCCATTTGATTTCTTTCCATCCATCCATTTATTTAAAACATTGTCCATCTATCCATCCACCCACCCATCCGTCTATCCATCCATCCATCCATCCATCCATCCATCCATCCATCCATCCATCCATCCATCCAGCCATTTGGTTTCTTTCCATCCATCCATTCTTTTAAAACATTATCTATCCATTTAAAAAATGCTCAATACATGTTCTTCTGGAGAAAATTCCAGAATCAACTACTGCATTTCAAATTGACATTGAATGTATTTTTCTCATTTGCCAGAGGCCTTTAGATCATACATTGGGAAAATAGTAATTACAAAATATTAATCAAACCTAAATCCTGACAAGGCAAAGAGGAAACCTCACACTGCTCTTGGTGGAATCTGGCTCAAGAAACTTTAACAAGTCTAAGTCGAATATTAACCCAAACTTTGAAAAAAAGGAAAATGACAAATTCAAATTACAAACCTGCTGCTCAAACTATTGTGTCTAGTGTTTAAGTAGAATGAAAGCATCATCAAATTCTTTAACCCATTTTTTTTTTTTTTTATGTCCGTGCAATTATAAGAAAGTTTTGACAAAAAAGTGCATAAAACATTAAACACAACAAATAAAGAGATTTAATTTTGGCTAACTTGTTGTCATGGAAATTAAATTGCATGACAAATTTTGAAGCTTTTTTTCCCCCTAATTCTAGATACTTCTACAAAGCTAGAAAATAATAATTTTTTAACACTTAAATGTCACCTGCAGTATTGATGCTAATAACATCCAGTGGCAATAAGAAGAGTGAAATCAACCCCATTTATCTTCTAAATGAAGATGGTCCAATCAAAACCCCTTATTCCCCATTCCCTGTCATGTTTCCTAAAGGACATGAGCCATCCGGAAACATACCAAGTGGCACTTGAGCATCAGAACAGCT